ATACGCAATACATAGAACAGAAAGACAAATGCCTTTTAAATATATGAAAACTATAACAATGCACATTTTTTTCTTAATAGGTTGACAAATGGAAAAACATTTTATAACAAACTATCTTACATTTTATAACAAACTATCTTGTTGAGGATGTAGAGAAATAGCCACTCTCTGGCATTACTGTGGGAACATTCATTGGGATCACTTCTATGAAGAGGAGTTTTCCAATAGCTCTTTAAAGTTTAATGCTTGAACCCCTCTCTGGAAAAATATTATTTCTAGAAATTTACCCTAAAAATATTCTTCAACATGAGTGGAATACATATATCCTAGGATATTTAATACATAACTGTTTGTAATAACAAAGGACTATATACAACCTAAAAGCCCATCCATCAATAGAAGACTGCTTAAATAAATTATAGCACATTTGTACAAAGGAATATTATGAAGTCAATAAAAAGAACACAGTATTTCTGGATGTACTGATAGGAAAAGGTCTCTAAGATATATTGTTATATACACAAAATGATGTACTTAACTGTGAACATTCTAACTTCCCCTTTGGACAAATTACATGTATATCCTAACATGCACTGGTATGTCTGAGTATTTACTCAAAAAAACTATAAACTGGTTGCCTCGGGGAAATTTTAGGGAGAGTATGTTTTATAGCTATTCAAAAATTAATTCAATATAGTAGAAAGAGATATAGAGGAAGTCAGTGAATCAAAGGAAGTAGAGGTTGGTATAACAGGGAAATAGGAAAACTGCCATGAGACAATGGTAGTCCAAAAGCCATGATGGGAGAGAGATTTCCTGTCATGTGTGTACTTATTCCTGAGAGGTAAACACTCATGAGGCTTCAGAAAAGGACCTTATATTATACAACTGTAGTCAAGTAATGCCTGCAGAGTTGGGAAGGAACCAAGGCATGCATGAGAATTGAGGAAGAAGAGAGACTCATTTCTAACTATGCAGATCTGATCAATTACCTTAGTTACATCCAGAGGATGGCATATCTATGTAGATTTTATTCTAATGCTTAAAGGAAATGCTCTGGTCTTCTCATATCAACATTCTCACAAAACAATAAGAGAAAGGAAAATCAGTTAATCATTCAGTCAATGTTCAGGATTTACATTACATCTTTCTCCTGAGAGTTCAAAGGCTTTAAATATTATACCTTCATTTATCTTCACATTTCCATACTGGTAGTAGAATATAAATGGTGCAAAACTGGGGGAAACGAGGCCAAGTCTCAAGATGAATCACTTGCAGAAATAGGCCTGCAGTTCAACTTTCCTTATTAAGCATCATGATTTTTTAAAGACATATTCAGGCCATTTGGAAAGCAAACAATTAAGAGTGTCATCTTTGGTATACTCTTAAGTGTATATGTGTGTGGTAGATATACATATATACATATGTGGACAAACATACAATCACATATATACATTTATATATTTATAATCTGGCATCATAATTAGCTGTATCAACATGTTTATACCACACTTAGGCCTAATAACCAATATATCATTACAATAAAACAGTGGCAGTGATCATGAGCCCATTATAAATAAACTCACATATGTCATTGTAATTCAGAAAATTTTAGTCTGAGATCAAGTGAGAAAGAGCAAACTTAAAAAAAAAAAATTACAAGTCCAATACTTGTCACTGCACCCACTAAAAGGATTTAATTTAAAACCAACACATCATCATATTGAAAGGGGAAATGAAAAACTAATAACATGCATTGACGTTTACATAAAATTAGTATGTAAAGTGAGAGATACGAGCCTAATGATGAATATGAGGCAATGGTTCCCATTTTAACAGACTAAGCAAAAAATGTTAATTGACAAAGAGACAAATCTAAATGAATTTCCAGCTATTTAAACACTAACTGCAGCTGCATGCTAATTGTCAGTGTTATGAATTAGAAAAAAAAAAAAAAAAAACCTGCTTAAAGTAAAAACTCAAAAAAACAAATGTAGCCAACATGCGAATTCACAGACTGTACTGAAATTACCATTGATTCAATCAGGAAAGGATTTTTCCTCCCCAAAATGTTAAACATCAGAATATTCAATCTGCATTTACTTTGTATTGATTGGGAACAAAAGTAGTTGGGTACAAATGAGCATATAAAAGTATTTCTGAGAGCATCTTTCATTCCTGAAATTAAGTCAATAATAAAAACGTCTATCTTCCAGAAGAAGCTAATAATATAATATTTCAATTAAACACAACTAATGACAATGGGAACAACTTATGGTTTCAAGTTAACTTTGCACTAAAATGTCTACCATTTGAAAAGTAATCCACAGTATTGGGAACCAGCAGTTAGCGTAATGGCTATGTCGCTGGACTCCCACGTAGTCGACTGCGGTTCGCGTCCCGGACCCAGTGGCTTAAAGCTCACACCGGTCGCATGTGCGTGCGTGCCCACCCAAGATCCTGAGAGGAGAATGGAGGAGAAGGGATTGCGGCATGACCACGCCCCCTGGGGGGTGATTTCTCACTTTCTGTCTCTATGTCTCTGTCTGTCTGGCGAGCGCACACGCCCTATAGCAAAAACCTCTCCAAAAAAAAAAAAAGAAAGTAATCCACAATATTAAAATGAACACAAGAGTGCCTTTTACAGGAGCTGAATTCATGGCATACAGCATCTTAGTGGCGGTTACAAGTTCAAGCTCTGGAAGTAGTCTTCCTGGGTTCAAATCCTAACTTTACCATTTCTTGCTGTGTAACTTTGAACAAATCATTTAACTATACTGTCTCTCACCTTTCTCATCTCAGGATAAGGATGACAATGGTTCCAAACTTCTAGGATCATTGTGCACATATACAAGGAAATCCTTCTTTCTAGCACCTGGCACATGCTCAGTAACTGTGAGCTATCATTATAATCTGCAGTTGTGACAGCAGTTTCTCAGAGTAAGCATTATATTGTGGTAAAAGACAGGGGCAAACAGATGGTGATGAGCATGCAACAATTTTGCTGGTCCCCAGATGTGAGGGGAGTATTGCCATCTTCCACATCCCATACCCTTTCTTTGACGGATGGGAGTCATGGGAATATCTCTGATCATTTCTCAGTAAAGATCAGTTCTGAGTGGGAAACCGATAATAAAGAATTTCTACATAAGGTACTCTAGAACAGAGTGAGCTGTCAGCTCCTGGGTATCTTAAGATGTGCTTGAGGTCTTGGCATTTTTTTTGCCCTGCGATACCACCTGCCATCAAAGGGATAGCTTGGTGAATGGTCATGCACCTGACTTTGTAGTAGATCTCTAGATATAATTTATAATATATAATTTCAAGGGATCTAGATCCCTTGGAATATACCACCAAATGTTTTATTTAACCTTGTTTCTTCCAAGGTCATGCAAAGGACAGGACAAAAAAATCTGAGCTGATGCAGAAAGATTTTCATGTTCATTCTTCCCCTTTAATTTACTGGAAGTTCCAACCTCTGAATAGAAGGAAAAAGGCCAAGTCTACAGGCATCTTGGCAGAGCGACAAATCACAGAAAAGAGATGTGAATTCCCATAAAATAAACACACCAAGCCCAGGCTCCTCCAGACCCTCTCAAGTCCAGTCAAACTGTGAGCGACTGGCATTCCT